CACGTTCCAGGCTGTCTTCATCTAAACAGTTTCTGCGGTTTTGTTTTGTTTTAAGTTTATTTATTTATTTTGAGAGAGAGAGTACGAGTGAGGGAGGGGCAGAGGCAGAGAGAGAGAGAGAGAGAGAGAGAAAGAGAGAGAGAGAATCCCAAGCAGGCTCCGTGCTGTCAGCATGGAACCCAACGTGGGGCTTGAACCCATGAACCATGAGATCATGACCTGAGCTGAAATCAAGAGTTGGACACTCAACCGACTGAGCACCCAGGCACCCTTTGATCTAAATGGTTTTGACAGTCTCTTCAAGCATATCTCCAGATTTCTTGTTAAATTCAGTCATAGTTCATGTTTTCTGGGAGGAATACATTTTTCCACCATACCAAGTAACTGCAGTAGAGACACTAATTACTACGCATTCATGACACAGTAGCCTTTTCTCGGTAAACAATGAGCCTCCCAAGGTTTCTGAGACCAGCAAATTCTAAGAATGTAAGAAAATCTCCCATTTTCCTTCTAATGACTTAGTTTTCTTGTCTAATTGTACTAGCAGCACTTCATTTTTTAAAAGTTTAATAAAAATACTTACACTATATGACAGTTGAACATACAAAATCTAACTCACATAAATAAGTAAAAAAAAACCCCAGTAGAAAATGTTAACAGTGGCTTATCACTAGGAGCAAATTCAAGATGATCTCTGTTTCAGTCTTTAAGACCTCTTTTTTTTTTTTTTTTTTTTTTTTTTTTTTTTTTTTTTTTAACTTTTTTACTAGCATGTACTGTTCGTACAATCAGGACAATTAGACTAAACGCATTTAGAGAAATAATTGACAATCATTCACAGTTAAGCCAATGTCGCATATCCATCACTTTCCCTAGCACTTTTATTCACAAGTTTCTTAGTTTCAACTTCATTAAAAGGAGAATAAAATTAGTAAGTGAGCAAAACATGGAAACTGGGGGGCAGGAAAGTAGGGACTTTCACCTTCTGACTCCATTCACCTTCATGCAAGGGACAAAGACCAACTGCAGGAGAGGCTAATGGGGTCATGGTAATACAGTCCTAACAGACCTTAAAGCTGTCCTATTTACAAGAATATTTTACTGTCTCACCCGAAAAAATGAAGAACTACTTATTTCTATCTCTATTATATCACCATGGAGAGATTTTTAAAGGACGCGGCAAAACCCAGGTCACACGCACCCTTGCACCCATGTGCACATGGCAAACACATTCTGTGCCAGGCACAGGGGCCGTGAGGGTAAATGAGTCACGGCCCTGAAGCCATCAAGCTTACGTTCTTTTTTTTTTCTTTTTTCAAGAATTTATAATTTTTTTTGAGAGAGAGAGCGTGTGTGTGCGTGTGAGCAAAGGAGGGGCAGAGACAGAGGGAGAGAGAGAACCCCAAGCAGGCTCCGCGCTGACAGTGTAGAGCCCGCCTGCGGCTCAGTCTCGTGAACTGTGAGATCATGACCTGAGCTGAAATCAAGAATCAGTCGCTTAACCAACCGGGCCCCGCCAGGCATCCCTGATGCTTACGTTCTCATGAGGAATAACAGACCGGCACCTGGTGGGGAGCACGGGGGACTGAGGTTGACTCTAGCTCACAGGGGTGGGAGGGGCAGGCCCTCTGCAGGAAGACTGACCTGACGCACTGGTGGGCACCTCAGCATGGAGACGAGCAGCCAGGAAATGGCAAAGGGTCTACGCAACCACCTTCCTCAATTGCACTCTGAACACTAACGGAGTCATATACTGTTCTGCAGTTTGCTTTTTTTAACTCAACAGTACACGTGGGACATTTTCCCCCAGCAAATACCCTCTGTGGGGCTCTGTGTGCGCATCTCAGGCCCATACGGCTGCCTCTGGGTTAATCCAAGGCTACTCTTCCATGGATGGCCATCAGGGCTCCCCCCGGCCGCTCACTGTCACCAATGCTCTGATGATGCTTTGCTCTCAGAACACATCAAAGACACTTGTAAAATCAAAGACACTTGTACAAAGACACTTGTAAATTCCTGAAAGGGAACTGAGGTGTCAAGGGTTCACATGCTCAGTTTTTAGACACTGAAACACCACATTCCAATCGGCTCTGAGGTGACAATTTGGAACCAGTGGGAAGCTTCACACACCTGTTCCTTGAGGCTGTGCACTTTGGCCTTCTCCTGCTCCAGCGCGGCTTCTAAGGCGTGGACGAGCTGCTTCGTCTGGCGGTCCTCCTCCTCCTTCCGCTGCAAGACCGCCTGTACCTACAGCACATTGCCGATGCGGCACGTGAGAAGGGACTCAAACTTCAGAGGCCAGCGGAGCCCCAGGAGGAAGCAGGGCCACTGTGTCAGGGCCACGCGGGGAACCTGGCAGCATGGTGACACGCAGCGTCACGATGCGCTGCCAGCAAGTGCACAAGGCGGCAGAGTCGGGAGAATTCCGTCTCTGGAGAACGTGAAACCTGAGACCGCAGCAAAACCGTAGAGCTGCACTCAAGCACGCAGCGAGGAACCCAAAGCGTGCCTGTGAGTCAGGGGCTATAAACGCAAATACCGTCACCGTGAGGTAACCGGGTATGGCAGGGGTGGGAACCGGTGCCGAATAAAAGTCGACAAGCTCTCTGATCGCTGGGTACTTTGAGGCGGGAGCTGGACCGGGCTGCTGACGGCCCCGTGAGGATGGCACCGGAGCGCAAGGCCTTCTCGCCAGTCTCAGAGAGGCTGCAGAGCCAGAGGGGCTGAGAATAGAGTCTGGAGAGGGAGCCCCCCCCACCCAGGGTTCAAGTCCCATCTGTGACTCACAGAGGGAAGGACCCCTCATGACCAGCGGGACCCCCTCAAGCAGGGAAGCTAACGGACTGGTCACAGCATTCACACTTCAGTCGGGGGG